TTTCTTTTCATATTTGAAGGATGTTTCTCTACTATTTTCTTATTTGCATCATGTCCACAAGACCACAAATCTTCTGTCATACTCTGTAGAGAGTATAATCTCTCTGCCTTTTTACTTTTAAGGTTTGCTTGTTATCACTGTTTTTGGTTTTTGACAAATTAGATTTTAGATATATCTTAGTCCCCTTCATGGTGTGCATGTGTGTGTGTATTTCTGTCTGTGCACTTGAGGTTCATTTGGCTTCTTTGATATGTGGGTTTTCTAATTTTTGAAATCAAAATAGTATTTTAGACCATTTTTTTTAACCTCATTCCTTCAGTGTTTTCATTTACACATAATTAGACTGTATGAAATTGTTCTATAGCTCACTGACCCTCTTTTCATTGTTTTAGTTGTATTTTTTTCTCCATGTGTTTCATTTGGATAGATTCTATTTTTATACCAAGGTTATTACTCTTTCTCGAGTCAATGTTTAATCTGAAATTACCTTAATCTATTTAGTGTTGTTATAATAGAATAACAGAGACTGGGAAATTATAAAGAAAAGTAATTTATTTCTCATGATTCTGGAGGATGGGAAGTCTAACATCAAGGTGCCAGCCTCTGATGATGGCTTTCTTGATGCATCATCCCATGGCTCCATGGCAGATGGTGAAAAAGCAAGAGAAGATGCATAAAACAGTAGTAGGGGGCCAAACTCATTCTTATTATCAGAAGCCCATTCCTGCAATAATGACATTAATATATAGATTAAAAAGTGATCTAGCCACCTCTTAAAAGTCCCACCTCTCCACATTGTTGCATTGGGAATTAAGTCTCTAGCACATGAATTTAAGGGATACATTGAAACCATAGCACTCATTAATCTCATCTGGCTTATTTTTTCTCTCATTCATTTTAATTATTATCTGTAGAAGTTTGATTTAGATCTTTCAAAATATCTTTGATTCTCTATTTAAATTTTTAACACTTGGAATATAGTATAGTGACTTTCTTAATTTCCTTGTCTACTAAATCTAACAATTGTGTCTGTTCTGAGTTGTTTGATTGACTGATTATCTCTTCATCATAGAATGTTATGTTTTCTTGCTTTGCATGCCTGTTAACATTTCTCTGGATTCTAGTCATTGTATATTGTACAACTTTGAGTGCTGGATATTTTTGAATTCCTATATATATTATTGTGTATTGTTTTAGGATACAGGTAAATTGTTTGGAAACTGTTCAATACTGTAGGGTTTCAATTCAAAATTTGTTAGATTGCAACAGAGCTACGTCCCACCTAATACTTAGGGCTAAATATGTCCACTACTGAGTATTCTATGTGCATATTCCTGACTATCCTATATGATGCCCTGCAAATTATGAGGTTTTCTAGTTTGCCTGACAGACAGGCTATTTTCAATGCCCTACGTGAGCACTGGATATTCCATTTAATCCTTTTGGATTGTTTTTTTCCAACATTGGATAATTTCCTCACACACATGAGCTAATCAGTATTCTGGTGAATACACAGGGGAAATCTGTAATTCTCTGGCCTTCATCCTCTCTGCAGCACTCTCTCCCCTCAGTAGTTTGTCCTGTGATCTCTTGCTACCTTGTCCTTTCCAGATTCTCAACTGCATCAATAGAACCCAGACAGCCTGCCAGGTTCTGCCTGAGTTTTTCCTCCCTGCACTGTGATCTGGACATTCTCTTGAAGCAATACAATGGGAAATCATAGGTTCACCTGACTGTCTGCCATTTTTTCTGCGATCACCATCTTGTATTGCCTGTCAAACCATTGTTTGATATATTTTCCTTGATTTTTGTTTGTTTCAGGAAGGAGACTCTTTATTACTGTGTCCTGGATAGAAGTATAAGTCTGCATTAATTTTATAAACCCTACTGTGGATGATTTAATTCTGTCTCATCATAGAATACACCTATGTGATGAATTATGTTTTCAATTTTCAATTCAAGGGAGAGAATTTTCATAGCTTTCACCTTTTTGTACAAGTCGTTATCATTGAAGATGGATTTCTTAAGGATTCATTACTTGCTTTTTTGTTTTTGTCCCTAGGAGCTTGCAAAATGCCTAGAATATGGTAGATTGATTGATGGCCTAGATGAATAGAAGGCTCAATGAAAGCATGTTCAGAAGAAAATAAAAAGTGGAGTGTGGTGTTGAATATATATTTGTTATGAGCTGAATGTTTGTCTTCTTTCCAAATTTACATGTTGAAACCCTAGCCCACAGTGACTGTATTTAAGAACCTAGTCTCTAACAAGTAATTCAGGTTAAATGAGGTCATAAATGTGAATCCTTGATCTGATAGGATTAGTGTTTTTGTAGAAGAGACACCAAGAGGATACTCTTTCTCTCTCTGTGTGCACATAAAAGGAATCATGTGAACACATAGGGATAAGGTTACTGCCTGTAAGACAGAAAGAGAGCCCCCTCCAGAAATCAACCATGTTGACACTCTTATCTTGGAGTTTCAGCATCCAGCGCATTGAGAAAATAAATTTCTGTTGTTTAGGTGACCCAATCTATAATATTTCATTATGGGAGCTGGAGCAGACAAATATTCTATCTAAATTGGATAGATAAATCAGAAAAAAAATATCAGTGGGAATCACCTAAGTTGTTGAAAATCTTTACAAGTCTTTAGAGACTACAACTAATGAAAATACAATTCTCTCAAACAATTTTTCTCGCACTAATAGTCAACTTTTCTTGTTTAAATCACCTTGGAGAAAAATATATTTTAGGTTTTTATCAAAAGAAGTTTTTCATAGAATGACAAAAGCTGTCCAGAATAGTAGCATTTTACATAGTTCTCACTTCCAGTTGATATTCCCAAATTTCTGGAGCCCTATATCAGAAACTACAGGAAAGAGACTAATCATGGATGATATCCAGCAGATGGAAGTTTTTGTGGTTTTTACTTAAGGTGAAGATAGTTTGCTACATGCTTCTCAATTCCATGAAGATTGTGATGTTTATAGCTTTTAACATTAAAAAGACATATATTCTAAGAAAATGCATGCAAATTATCAAATTGATAATTTTTGAACTTTCCTATTGCTTTTGTTTATTTTAAGAAAATATAGGATGTATTTTCTTTTAATAGATCATATGAAGTCTTTAGACTTTCTGCTGGAACTGTGTTAGAGTCCTTGGGACTAAACTTTATAAAGTCCTCTGCCACTTCCTATTGTTGTTATTTTTAAAATTTGTTATTTGAAGAAAGATGACCATTCATTATAGTCAATACCTTTGTGTAAACTTCTTTTGAGTTAACAAAGCACTGAAAGTTCACAAAGCCCTATCAAATCAACCTTTACATCAACTCTCAGATATACATGGCATGTAACAGCCTCATTTTTGAAGTAAGAGAACAGAAACTGACAGACAATAAATGACTGTCTCTGGCAACCCCATTAAAGAGTGATTGCCAGAGGTCAGGTTATAACTGAGATCATGCTCAGGTCTTAGGAGGAGACCATCAACTTCTTAATTAGTGCTTATCTTCGGGTTAAAGTGGCCAATTGATGGTTTGTATAGTTACAAATCTAAGCTTAAGATTTAATGCTTAATGTGAAAGAAACCTGTTACTCTTCATCTGACATTAAGAACATCGCCCAAAGTAAACTCAGTAATATTTAGCATATTAATTTAAAATCAGAAAGGCAGAATGTTTTCCAGATCTGTGGTCTCACATAGATAGATATTTGTCAGAAATGAGACTTCAGCCCCTTATGACTGACATGGTGAAGTTTCAAAAAACTTTAAAATAGCTGAAAATAATAAAAATTGTAGCATTTTGGAACAACTCTACTTCAGAAAATTTTCTGAAAGAAATCCCATTAGCAAATCTAACAAATGGTTAGTGATACAAATAGGAGAAGATGGAAGGAATAATGAGATATCCTAGAGGAATCTTCTTTTAGTTATTAGTTCAAGATGATTGTAGGCTTCAAACTGAGTTCTTGGCAGGGAGAAAAAGAGATAAATCCTCTTTAATTCCCATAATGCTATTATGACACTGGGTACTCTTTCTCTCAAAATAAAATGCAATATATCAAGGCTACATACTATGTGGTTTGAAGTAAATGAAAGAACTATCTAATGCAGAAAAAAAAATTGGTTTAAAAATAGCACTTTTCTTCCTTACCCCCAATCATCATATCTTCAAACAGTGGTGGGTACTGAATTACTTAGTATTTTTAATTTTAGTAAAGGTAAGATTATTATTCTGAAGAGTGAGTTACAAATAAGGGCCATGGTAAGAAGTAAATACAGTATGGCACTTTATCAATATCAACCCAAATCAAAGTTTCTCACCTTTTCCTTGACTAGTACCGAGTTGGAACACTGTCTAGCACATGGTTAACACTAAGCAAATGGTAGCAACTATTGTTATTATCTACTTTTCCTAAATGAGATTTTTGTCAGTTTAGCACTTCACATAACTGCTAATCTGCAGTTTTTCAGTTTTCACTAGAAAAATATCATTCTTCTAGTGGCCAAATAGAAAGATTTGTGACACTGTCTTCCCATAAAGCTTAAGGGCAAATGACGTAAGACTTGCCAACGTGTTCTAGAAAGGATTACTAGTCACATCTTCAATCTCTACCATGATTTTTCTAAATAGCATAGAGATTTTATTAGTCAAATTTATTTACTATGTACCATAGTCCTCCATATCACACTGTGATAATAAATTTGAGATTATTTTCTGAAAAACACCACATCATGTTATTTAAAACAATTCCTCTGAAAATTAAGCCTCTGTAAGTCATGTAGCATGTGTGAAGGAAATGAGGTATTCAGGTTCTCAGTACACTGTGTCCGATGGCCAGTTAGCTCACCATATTGGCATGGTGGAGTATAAAAACAGTATTCTATGTTCAAATTAAATGAGATTGGTATGTTAAACAAAGCAAAACAAGTTATTATGCTTTAGAATGTCTTAGAGCCTTGCCTGTCCAAATTCATGTTATAAATTTCCTAGGGGGAGCTACAGAACAGGCAGCATTAGCCAAACATATTTGCCGGTGGGACCTATTTTTCAGGCACATTGGTAGAATCTCCCTAAGGAAAAACAGGTAAGGATTTATTATTGTAGCAGTCAATTGTAGTGAATTTTTGTGACTAAATCATAGCTCAGATACAGGAATATTTTAACCAATCAATCAATACTAATAGGGATATAACTTAGAGGAAAATGCATTTTATTAATTTTTAGTAGATCCTATCATTAGATCTAAAAGGATCTAATAAAATAAATAGCTTTATTAAATTTTAATTTTTCATAGAAAGGCCATACAATTGAAGGTAAATATCTTACATACTCTATTTGATTTATAAAATATAAATCATATTTTTATAATTAAATGAGTTTTGATATATTTAAAGTATATTTTAGTTTAGAAAGAAAATCTGAATTATGGGTGAGATCCACAAGAAAGTAATGAAAATGATAAATTATGAGGGTATAGTCAACATTCACTGTTTCTTACTCTTTTGTAAAAGTTGTCAAAATGAACAATAGGACTTCAATAAGTATACTGTTCTCCTGAAAAAAAATAAAAATTTGAATAAAATATTATAAAATATAATTTTAGACTTGTGATCTAAAAGTGAACATGTATAAATGTGAGCTGGAGTTTTTTGTATTTGAGGTAAAATACAATTGTCATGATGAATTTTCCATTGGAAAGATTAGACTTAAGGGATTGGTTTTAGTTAGGTATTTCAAAGTTTAAAAATATATGGAGATGTTGGTACTAAATAATTCATAGCTTAAAGATTTGAAAATAAGGCCTAACAACAAAAGATTAAGAAATCATAGTTAATTAACTTTGGGAACAGAAGAATAAAGATAGGCTATCTGCAGGATGAGTTTAACAACCATGGAAGGAACTAGAAATATAACAATTACCAACATAGGTAAAAGAATAAGAATACAGCTTGGGAATTTTTTTTTTGATAGAAAAGAATACCATGAACTGTTACATAATAATAAAGCTTAAGGCGTAGAAAGCAATGATGTATTACAATGATGTTATATACAATTTTGTTTTTAAATATGAAGAAATTACATATATATATTTCCTTTGAGATAGATATATATACATAAAATATATAATATATCTATCTCAAAGGAAGATATTTCTTTTGTGTAAGGAAATCCTAATTTCCTTTGAGATAGCTCCTTACCCAAAGGGCTATTTTAAAGTTACCGAAGACCCTGCCCAACTGAGAATGCTTGATAATGTAACATATGGACAACTCAACCAACCAAAGTTTTTAGTGATCTATTTTACAGTGGAAAATTAGATGAACCAGATAAATAAAGTTGTTAAGATAAAAAGGTGATATAACCTACTGTCTCTTCATATATATGCAAAATGTGGATGATAATACACACATTTTGATAGGGTTATTAAATATATTGTAAATATAATATCTGGCCAATAAAGATAGCAGTGCTTATTGATAACTTACAGATTTTTAAATTAATTTTATAGCTATGTTAATGGATACTCAGAAAAAATATGATATAAATAGGAAGAGAAAATTCCTGTGATCTGAATCTATCTCCCTGATTTATAACTCAGTACCCTCTCTATCCCACCATAGAAGCTTCTCTCTGCTTTCTGTAGTTCATCACAATTTCACATTTCCTTTGTTGAAGATCTATATTTTTATCTATTATGTTTGTTAATATGTTTTTAAAGCTCATGCATATTTATATCCTTCAGTTTATTTCAAAACTTCTTAATATATTATAGATGTTTCCAAATTCTTATGGAATGAAAAAATTAATGAATTAGGAATAGCCACAATAATTAAATTCCCTTACAGTAGATCCAAGAACTCACCTAATTCTGGATTCTTCTTTGGTGAATACATTGGTATGAGGATGCAGCATTTAAAAGTCATTAAGAATAACCCAACTGTACCTTCTGGCAAGACACTATGTAGGTGTAGCATCATGATGTTGATTTGAGCTTACATTTAATGTTTCTCGATACTTGCATTGCCATGATACTGCTCTAGATTTTTTACACTACTTGACTGTCTAAAACTTTTGTGATTACTTAAAAAAATTAATAGAAGTAATTCAATTTCACCTTTTTATCATGATTTCATACAGTTAATAAAATGCTGAAAACTGTACTAAATTACATTTTGATAAAAAAATTAAAGGAATTCCTGTATGGAGACACATTGCATATTTTGAATCCTAATGCAGATATTAAAAGTTAATCATTAAATGCAATAGAAAGTCATCTCTGGTTAATAAGTAGATTAGTTTTAAAAAGGAGTTTGATGTTATAATGTACTCTTATGCTAGAAATAATAAATTACAAATTTCAAATGATAATATTTAAGATATAAATGTTAAGAATTTTGGAGAACTATTTTAAAGATAAGACAGAAAACAGAGTTTGCTTCTGATTTGTCAGAATTGCAAAATCCATAGATAGGAATCAGACTGAGTGATGTCTCTAACCTGCAATCTAAGACTTGATGAGAAGCAGCTGAGTGAGGATTACCAGGAAGAGATGACACCAAATGAAATGGAGACATATGAAAATACTCAGGCTCACACTGCAAAATGGTAGTATATGTAAATTCTACTGGAATCTTTGAAAGTTTATGATTAAGTGCTCAATCAGCACAGTAGCAAATGTTTTTCTCTCCTATAGTCTATGTTGAAATCCTCATGCTAATTATTATTACAGGCAAATGTCACATATGGATTTAAGTGGAAATTTCTGAAAGCTATAAAATACAGATTCTGTATTTGATTGAAAATAGTTGAAGAAATGCATGAGGAAAGAAATTGCTCTATATGGAGATTAAGACAAAGTCAATGGCCCCTTGGGACACATTAATTTTATTTTATCCAGGCTCATCTATAACACCTGGTATTTTTGTGAAACTGCAGTCCTAACAATATAGTAATTGAACCAGTAAGCACTTGTGGGTGAAATACCAAATTTGAGAAGCCAGGCAGTCTCAAAAGAAATTGTTAAAACCAAACTCTTACTAAGGGAGCCAACCAATATACACATAATCAGTTCTTCCTTTAGATACCTTTGTTATAGCTCTCTAGTTACTTTTTAATTCTTTCCATTAGAAAAAGTGCATTTGTAATTGTTCTTTTTTTAGCTACTAGTTTTTATTTTGAGGGTAGAAATGTTAGCTCACAGCAGCTCAGAAAAGGAATTTTTTGAAACCCAGGACTATCAGAATAAATGAGATACATTTAATCCAAATATAAGTATTATTATACACCTAACACTTCTATACTAGGACTTGTGTGACTTTGAAGGGTGTAAAATACAAAGCTTGCAACTATAAAGTACTTGCAATTCTGTTGAGTATGTGAGATATACTTCATCTAACAGTTCTAGCCAAGAATTTTATGTATTCATTCTGTTCATCCACTCTATAGGTAAGGTCTCTTGGCATGACCTCCAAAATCCATTTCAAATCTTTTAATATCTTTGCCAACACTTCACTCTGAGTTTCCATTACTTTCTCCAGGACTAATGTAATAGCTTTCTAAAGAATCTCTATATCAACTGTTCCCCTTCTCCTTGCATACCTCTCTACACAATGTATCCTCTAAAAACAGCAAGAGTAAAATTTTTTTAAGACATATTCCTTGACTGCAGATAATCTATCACTGACTTTCCACCAAACTTGGAATAAATCCAAGTATGTGGCCATGGCCTTTGCAACTTTAAATAAATTGTCCTCTCCCTACTTATTTAATCTCACTTTATACTACTTTTACTTTCTTCCACTGTGTATAAACCATATAGGCCTTCTTTCTGGTTCTGAATACCATGTGCTGTGAGTACTTGAGTATATTTACATTAGCCATAAGCACTGTCTAGAATGTTCTTCACTTGGTGTGTGCTTAGGTGTCTGCTTATAATGTATGTCTCAGCTTAAACATTTTCTCAGGTAAGCTGCATTATTGATATATTGCTGTGCAACAAATTATTCTATAACTTATTATTTAAAACCACAAACATTTATTATATCAAAAGTCCTGTGGGTCAAGAATAACTTAGAATGGCTTAGTTGATACCTCTGACTTACCGTCAAAGTATCGGTCAATGCCACAGTCATCTCAAATCTCCACTGGGGGAGGATTCACTTCCTAGCTCACTTATATGTCTGTTTACAGCCATTAGGCACTGATTAATATTGGTTTTTGATATGTGGCCCTCTTCATAGGGCTGCTTACAATATGGCAATTGGTTTTCTTCCGAGTGAGCCAGCAAGAGAAGGAGAAAGGCTGCCAGAGATAGAAATCATGTTCTTTTTATAAACAAATTTCGGAAGTTACAACTCAGCACTTCTGTTGTATTTAATTCATTAGAAACTAGTCAATAAGTTTAAGAAACACACAACAAGAAGAAATTACACAAGGATGGGAACACCAGAAAGTAGGGATCAACCATCTTAAAGGCTGCCAATATCGGTCTATCCTAAGGTCTCCAGTGATTCATGTCTCCTCCCTGTGCAAAACACACATCATCCCAAAGTTTTCAGAAGTCTAATTCTACCATATCAGGAGTTGAAAATCTAGAATTTCATAATTTAAATCTGGTCTAGATATGGATGGGGCCCCTGGAGCATAGTTTGTTAAGTATAGCTAAGTAAGTATGCTTCTTTTTTATGCATATAACTATGAAACTATGGAGATAATATCTGCTTTCCCCACCCACATACATTTAAAATGCAATGGTGAGACAGGCATAGGATAATCACTACAGATCCTCTTTAAAAACAAGACATAGAGAAGTCACTAGTATAGTACTTATGAAATCCAGCTAGAGATAAATGTTGGAAATTTCTTGATTAATTAATTTCAAGGCCTGAAAAATAATTCTTCAGGTTCCTAGCTCTATCCTGTGAGTATTCTTCCTTTTTCATGGAAGGTGGAAGATGTTTTCAGATGAGTAGCTTTCTCAGTCCATTTCTTGCCAGTAGAGTTGTGAAAGTCTAACTGCCTCTTTTCCTTTTGTACTAACTCTGTCTCTTTCCTCCATGCTGGTAATTTTTCTGCTGCTATAAT